CGACTGATCTGCCTCGCCAGAGAAGAGCGCAATGATGGTGTTAACTTGGGCCAGTGAAGCAACGTCCTCCACAACTAGGTTGAAGAACAAAACGACAGCAACGTGTCTGTTCCCCTTCCCCCAATTCCCCAGCACTGTTCCCATCCCCCCAATTCCCCAATAAAAATCTTAAAAAAAAAAAGAACAACAACATTAACAACAAAAAACAAGTGTTGGTGAACATGTGGAGAAATTGAAACCCTGTACATTGTTGGTACAGCTGCTAAGGAAAACAGTATGGAGGCTCCTAAAAAATTAAAAGTAGAATGATCCAGCAACCCTACATCTGGTATTTATCCAAAGAATATAAATCAGGTTCTCCAAATGATATTAACACTACTATGTTCACTGTAGCACTATTTACAACAGCCAAGTTGTAGAAACAACCTAAATGTCCATCAACAGATGAATGAATAAAGAAAATGTGGTATGTAAAGACAATGCATTATTCAGTCTTAAAAATGAAAGAAATCCTCCCATATGTGACAACATAGGTGAACATTTAGGACATTGTGCTAAGTGAAGTAAGCGATTAACAGAGGGACAAATACTGTATGATTCCACTTTAATGAGGTATCTAAAATAGTCAAAGTCATAGAAGCATGGAATAAAATGGTAGTTGTGAGGGAGTGGAAGTAGGAGGAAATGAGGAGTTATTAATCAACGGGAATTAAGTTTCAATAATGCAAGATGAATAACTTCTAGAAATCTGCTGTACAACATTGTGCATACAGTTAGCAATACAGTATTATACACTTAAAAATCAATACTGTATTATACACCTAAAATATATTAAAAGGGTAGATCTCATATAAGTATTCTTACCACAATAAAATTTTAAAACATTTGTTTTTAATTTAATAAACTTTAAAGATGTGAATGCCAACAACAGAAAGAAGCTTCCAGATAACATATCATTTCCTCTGCCCGGGAATAAAGTGGTCTTTCCTAGAATGTTAACAATCATGCAAGCTCATTAGTTTCCTCAAATGAAATACTTTGATCCAATAAACTAACCTTACCAATAAACTCCAATCTTAAAAGTCTTGCTGGCTTTTTGTTTGTTTGTTTGTTTGTTTGTTTTTTAAGATGTTATTGGGGAATTGGGGTAGGGGAATAGTGTTTGGCAATTGGGGAGGGGGACCAGACAAGTTCTTGTTCTTCAGTCTTCATTGTGGAGGGCGCTAGTTGCCATCTGGCTTCCCATCAGCAGCTCGTGGCCTCTAAGCTCAAGGTGCTGTGTTCAATCTTAGTTGCNTTTTTTTACACACTAACTGTTTTTTTACTTCTGTATCCAACTTCAGCTATAAAACCCTTACCCACTAAGACTTAGCTGCTGGTCTCCCCTTTGAGAGACAGCCCCAGGTCTGGTCATAGACTCTTTGGAACGAAAATTCTCTTATACAAGTTTTGTTTAGGAGCCTTAAACTTAACACTTTGACTCGACACATGTGTGCTAGGCACTGTGCTAGGTGGGAGCGGGGAATGATAGTAGTGAAAAAACCAAATCCCTTAATTCATGAAGCTTACATTTGTCAATGAAAAAACATCCAGCCTAAGAGAAAGCTTATAAGAGTTTACTTGAGCCAAACTGAAGACAATTACTGGGAAGCAAAATCTCAATGGATTGAGAAAATGCTCCACAAAATGGTGTTTTACAACTTATTTTATACATAGAATCAAATCAGGAGGGTTATATGAAATCCACTGGTGGTAGATTAAGGGGTGGGAGAAAGTTAAGTGGGGAAATTTCTGGGATTGGATAAAAGTAAATTGGAGAGACAGGTACTTCTACATAGGTGAGTATGGGATAGTTACTAGTTCACATTTTACAGCACATAGAGATGTTAATCAGGGGACAAGAATAACATTGTGAGATTCCGTAGTTTCCTCGCTCTGGTCCAGAAAAAGGGGATTACTCTGACATGCCAAGGGCATGTTATCTTAGATGCAAAAAGACAATAGACAGACTCACTTAAGGTAAAGATTGACCTTTGTCAAGGAAGCTACACACTAAAGATGTGACTTCCCGCCATGCCCCACCTTAGTTAGGAATTTTTATGTTCACACCACCCTATGAGGTTAGTTTTCAGTCTCCTGAGCTTGTCGGGTTTAACATGTGGCCCCTTTTCCATTCACACACTCTAGTTAGAGAGATTGACACAGAGCAAAGGGAATAGAGAGGGAGCAGGTGGTGGCTTTAGACAAGGGTGACCAGAGTTGGCTTTCCTGACCACGTGACATTTGTGCAGGACTGAATGAAATGACAGAGCTGGCCTCACTAGTGAATAGGGAAAGGCCACACCAGGCAATGGGAACTGCAGGTGCAAAGGACTTGGGACAGGAACTTGTTTGGCATGATCAGGGAACAAGCAGGAGGGATGGGGGAGGGCTGGAGCAGCATGAGGGTGTTGAGGTAGGGGATGAAGTTAGTAGGAGATGGGGCAGGTGAGGTAGAGAAGGACCTGATCATAGGGCCCTGCGGTCCACAGCAAGGGGTGGAGATCTCGTTCCAAATGGGGTGGGAAAGGTTTGCTGAGACTGCACGTTGGGACATGAGAGGAAAGTGAAGTGTTAGGATCATGCAAAGGTCTTTACCCAGGCAACTGGAAGTGTTTCTGGAGTTTCGGGTCTTCTTGCCAACACAGCGAAGAATCAAGGGTCAGCAAGCTGATTAATGTGCAAGCAGGTTTTATTAGTGATACTTTCTCAGGGAAGAGAAAGAGCCTAGCCGAGATGGGAGAGAGAGGCACTGGCTCCCGATTTTAGTGATAGGTTCTTGGGGAACAGACTGGGCCTAGCTGAGGTGGGAGGAAGAGGCATAGGTTCCTGGTATTAGTAAGAGAGAGACAGAGAGACACACAGAGAAATACAGAGAGACACAAAGAGAGAGACAGAGAAAGACCTATGCCCCTTGTCCCAAGGACTTATAGTTTTCTGGGTGGGGTGAGGGAGTTACATATTGATTTGTTGGCTAAAGATGGTGCATGCTCTTCCACAGTAGGGCATGACCTCCTAAGATGGGGGGAGGTCTGTTGACTCAGATCCTTATCTTGCTCCAGGCCACCTCTCCTCACCTGTTGTAAAAACAGATATGTGGCTGGAAGCAGTTAATCAAAGCTATTTATGAGCTTTTTCTGTAGGCACCATGGACCCCCTCTCACTCCTCCCCCTTCTCCTACATTTTCTAGCTTCTACCTAACAGAATGATGGAGATGCCATTAAGTGAGGCAAAGGAGACTGGAAAGAAGCTCAAAAGGACTTCAATTTACACGTGCTACATTTGAGAGCTCATTAGATCTCCAAGGGGAGCTGTAAAGGAGTCATCTGGATCTTTCTGTCTACAACACACAGCAGGTGTCAGAGTAGCAGCTGTCAGTGCAGAAGGGGCGTTTAAAGCCCTGAGATGGGATGAGATTCTCGAGTGAGTACACACACAGAAGTGGTCCAAGGCCTGAGCCCTGTGACTCTCCAAAATCCAGACTCTACAGCATGAAGACAAGAGGAGCCAGCAGAACTAACTGACTAGCTAGTCAGATGACAAGAAAACCGATAGAGCTTGGTGTCCCACAAGTCAAGGGAAGCAAGAGTTGCAAAGAGAACAGAGTGATTAACTACATCGAATGCTGCCAAGAGGCCCAGTAAGGTAAGGACTCACTCACCACTAGATTTGACAGCAGGAAGGGAGGACACAGAAAACTGGATATCCACACGCAAAATAATGAAATTGAATGCTTATCTCACACTATACACAAAAATCAATCCAAAATAGATTAAAGACTTAAACATAAGACCGGAAAGTATAAAACTCCTAGAAGAAACAGGAAAATCTTCATGACTTTGGTCTTGACAATGATTTCATAGAAATTATACCAAAATGGCAACAAAAGCAGAAATAAACAAGTAGAGCTATGCGAAACTAAAGGCTTCTGTACAGCAAAGGAAATAATCAACAGAGTGAAAATGTAATCAATGGAATGGGGAAAATATTTGCAAACTATATATCTATAAAGGATTAGTCTACAAAATATATAAATAATTCCTACAACTCATCAGTAAAAAAATAAAAACTAATAGCCCAGTTAAAAAATGGGCTAAAGATTTGATTAGACATTTCTCAAACATATACAAATAGCCAACAGATATATGAAAAGATACTCAGTGCCACTAACCATCAGGTAAATGCAAATGAAAACCATATCACCTCAAGCTATTCAGGATGGCTATTAAGAACAACAACATTAGGGGCCGGCCGAGTGGTACATTGGTTAAGAGCTGGCTTGGGACGCCAGAGGGCCCTAGTTTGGATCCCACATATGAGGGCAAGTGACACTGCCTTCTACAGCTAAGATGCTGAACAACAGCTCAACCTGGAGCTGGGCTGCCGTGAGTCGCCAGCAATGGCATAGGCTGCAGTCCCTGCTGCAGTGGGTTGTGATGGGCTACCATGTATAGCCAGCAGCATCCAGAAGCCAGTGACTGATCTGCCTCACCCGGGGAGCGCGCAATGATGGTGCCAACTTGGGCCAGTGAAGCAACGTCCTCCACAACTAGACTGAAGAACAAAAGGACAGCAACTTGTCTGTTCCCCTTCCCCNTTGAAAGCGCCGCCGGGAGGCTGTGCACCGCCTTCTGGTGCCTTGAAAAGCTTGCTGGGGTGGTGTCTGCAGAACTGTGGGACCGGTTCAGTGAGAGAACAGTGAATGAATGAGAGAAGGATCAAAGAAACCAAGCAGAATTTAGGGGCAGGTTTCTGGAGGGCAGATACAGAGTTGCCTGTAGTATCCATCAGTAGATTCCAGAATCTTCTGCTCTTCAGCCCCATGCAGGGAGACCATGCCTAGACCCAGGAAGAGGCTGGCTGGGGCTGCTAAGCCATACAGGAAGGGGCCAGCAGAAAAATATACCAAGACTTAGGAACCAGATGAGGCATCAACTAAAGTGGTGAACTCTAGCCCTCAGAAGACATCAACCTCTAAAAATTGTGGGAAGAATCTAAGCAACTGCTGGCTGACGACGTCAGAGCCAGAAAGCCGACTAGAGAAAGGTGTAGATGTGAAGTTCAGCATTGAGGACCTCAAAGCGCAGCCCAAGCAGACAGCATGCTGGGATGGTGTTCGCAACTACCAGGCCTGGAACTTCCTTAGAGCCATGAAGCTGGAGGAAGAAGCCTTCTTCTACCATAGCAACTGCCAAGAGCCAGGCATGTCAGGACTTGTGAAGATTGTGAAGGAGGCTTACCCAGACCACACACAGTTGGAAAAAAAGCAATCCTTATTATGACCCATCCAGCAAAGAAGACAACCCTAAATGGTCCATGGTGGATGTACAGTTTGTTCGGATGATGAAGCGTTTCATTCCCCTGGCTGAGCTCAAAACCCATCACCAAGCTCACAAAGCCACTGGTGGCCCTTTAAAAAATATGGCGCTCTTCACTCAGCAGAGACGCTCAGTTCAGCCCCTGACCCAAGAGGAGTTTGGTTTTGTTTTGAGTCTGGAGGAAAAGGAACTGAGATAACTGAGACACTCGCTGGAATGGGCAAGACATTACTCCAAAGAAGTGAAGTTTCTATTAAGACACAAGGAGGTGTAAGGATACTTGCTTGCTATTATCATCTGGGGTTATCTACATAGGGGGATTTTGTGTACTTTTCTCAATAAAACACTGATATCAAAAAAAAGATAATAGAAGACTATAGCCTGTTAAGCACAGGATATATAGCTCTGTTTTTCCTGCTCTTGAGATAACATCACTGACTTACAATCCCAAGATGTTTTACAGAAATCTATAAGCAAGAAAGATTACCTTACCAGTCATGAAGACACCAAACAGGATGCCACCAAGTACTAAATAAATGAAATTAAGAAAATTGCTGAAGCTTGCACAAGAAGTGACCAATCAACACATCCCACTACCCAGAACCCCTTACTCATACTTACTCATGACTTTTTGCCTTTAAAAGCCCCCCAATTATAAGCCATCAGGGAGTCTGGGTTTTTAAACAATAGCTTCCAGTTGTCCTCAGGTGGTACCCAGCAATAAAATGACCCTAATTCCTCCACTGCAATTCTTGGTGTTTGGCTCTGCTGTGCACCAGGTGGGTGAATTCTCTTATTCATAGCATCCATTAGGACTTAATATACAAGTTTTGGTTTCACAATACTGGGCAGGGAAAATGTTCCCAGCCAGACATAATAACCATTCCTATTTAAATATTCAGGTAAAATTGACAAAACTGTTAGGTAGAAGTTAAAAAATGTAGAAGGAGGAGGGGTGGGAGGGGGTCCATAGTGCCTATAGAAAAAGCTCATAAATAGCTTTGATTGGCTGCCTCCAGCCACGTATCTGTTTTTACAACAGATGACAAGAGGTGGTCTGGAAAAGCCAAGGATCTGAGCCAACAGACCTCCAGCCATCTTAGGAGGTCACGCCCTCCTGTGGAAGAAAGAGCAGGCACCACTTTTCCCACCAAATCAATATGTAACTCCCTCACCCCACCCAGCAAACTAGAAGCCCTCAGGACAAGGGCTCTCTGTGGTCCTTGAGATCTCTCCTCCTTTTTGTCTCCCACTTTCTTTCTCTTTCCTTTCTTTCTCTCTCTCTCTTTCTTTCTCTCCCTCCCTCTCCCTCACCTCTGCTAGGCCTGTTCTCTTCCCTGAAAATGTATCACTAATAAACCCTGCTTGCATGTTAATCAGCTTGCTGACCTTTGATTCTCTACTGCATCGGAAAGAAGAATCGAGACTCCAGTAACATAACTCCTTTCATAATACTTGCTTAAACAAT